CCTGGCTTCGGATCGGCATAGCATCGGCCGTTGCGCTCACTTGGGGAGTGAATCATTGGATGGAAGATCTTCCTCTCTGTCCCTCCTCTCTGTATATCCGCCTTTCCAATAAAAAAATAATAAAAATAAATCTTAAAAAAAAAAGACTCCTGCAGCCTCCTTTCAGAATCTTTCCTGTGGTCCTTGGGCTGTCTCACCTGCCTCAGCTCCTCCTTTCCTTTCTTGCTGCAGCACCTGGCCCTCCTCCCCTCCACTTCTCCTACTGTCTCTCCCACAACTCTGCTTCCTCTTTCTGCTTATAGAATCAACCATTTGCTTCCTGGCAACAAGTTATCCAAAAGGGTTACAACCTGTGCCCATGTTTGCTCCTTTCACTGCAGCCTGGAATCAGATTTTTCCATTGCAACCAGGAAAAAAAGGAGGGCACGGAAAGTGTTCAACCTTGTAGTTTGCCAGGTCTCAAGGCATTTAGCAACCTAGATTTGTTCTGCTTTGAAAATCTCACACAGCACTTAAAGTAGTTAAGAAAATAGCATATAAATTATCTTCTCTAGCCTCTCTCTCTCTCTCTCTCTCTCTCTCTCTCTCTGTCTTTTTTCCTAGCCAAGAAACCTGTGTGAGGGGAAGATGTTTGTTGTGACAGAAGGTCACAGGAGTGTAAGCAACAGTTATGCAATGGCCTGATCATGGAGCCCCAGTATATCTTTCTGGGGTTTACAGTGATAGCAGCATGGTGCTTAGTTCTTGTAAAGATTTCTTTCTTGGGCTCAGCTTGGTAACATAATGGCTAAAATACTCACCTTGAACACACCGGAATCCCATAGGGACACCAGTTCTAATCCTGGCAGCCCTGCTTCCCATCCAGCTCCCTGCTGGTGTCCCGGGAAAGCAGTTGAGGATGGCCCAAAGTCTTGGGATCCTGCACCTGTGTGGGAGACTCAGAAGAAGCTCCTGGCTCCAGATTAGCTCAGCTGCAGCCATTGCAGCCGCTTGGGGAGTGAACCATCAGACAGAAGATCCTCCTCTCTGTTTCTCCTCTCTGTATATCTGCCTTGCCAGTAAAAAAAAAAAAAATCTTTAAAAAGAGTATTTATTTTTAAATTTATTTGGATGTTGGAATGACAGAGAGGGAGACAGAAAGAGAAAGAGAGAGAAGAGCCATCCTCCCTTTACTGGTTCACTGTCACAGCAGTCACATTTGTATAAGCCAGGAATTCAGTCCGTGCTTTACTTCATGAATGGCAGGAGCACAAATGCTTGAGATATACCTGCTCAGTCCCCCAAGCCTGTGAGCAGGGAGCTGGATCAGAAGCAGGGCAGCCATGTTGTGACATATGAGGTTAAGTTGCCACCTTCAATGCAAGCATTCCAAATGGTTTGAGTCACACAAGCTCCACTTCCATTACAGTTCCCCGCTGTTGTGCCTGGGAAAGCATCAGAGGGTGGTTCAGGTTTTTGGAGACCTGCAAGAAGCTCCTGGTTCCTGGCCCAGCTCATTGTGGCCATTTGGGGATATGAACCCCCAAATGGAAGACTCTTTTTTCCTCTTTGTTTCTCTGTAACTTTGCCTTTATATAAATAAATTAATATTTTAAAAGAGTTGCTCATTTTTATTGGAAAAGCAGATTTGCAGAAAGAAGAAGAGACAGACAGAAAGATCTTCCATCTGCTGGTTCACTCCCCAAACAGCTACAATGGTCAGAGCTGAGCTGATCCGAAGCCAGGAGCCAGGAGATTTCCCAGGTCTCTCACACGAGTGCAGGGTCCCAAGGATTTGGGATGTCCTCTGCTGATTTTCCAGGCCACCAGCATGGAATTTAGATGGGAAGTGGAGCAGCTTGGATATAGACAGGTGCCCATATGGGATCCTGGCACTTGCAAGGCAAGGATTTTAGCCATTAGACCATTGCCCTGGACAGCAAAATGAATTAATTTTTAAACATAGAACCCAAATAGCCATCATAGCTCTGAAATGGGATGTGGGCTTCCCAAATAGCAGGTTGATACACTGTGCCACAGCACCAGCCCAATTAGTATATTTTCTTATTCAGCAGTCATGTCGTTGACCTGAGTCATTTTCAACATAATTCTGTGTGTGAGTCAGAGTGATCCAGTGGACAGGGTGTGATAGTTCCCACCCAGCAGCGTAGACAGAACTCGGTCCCATATTAGAAATGCTGAATCCCAGGTCCCATGGCAGCCCTGCTGAATCAGGGCCTATATTTTACAGTCTTGGATGCATTGTCACACACATTAAAATCTGTGAAGCACTTACTTTATTGTCCAAACCCGCCAAATTCATTTTCTCCCTTAATGAGGTGGTATTGTAATGTTGCTCAGCACAGTTTTTCTTCCTCCCTTCCTATTTTACTGTCGCAAAGCTGTCCCATAAAAACAGCATTTTGCAAAAAGAAAGTGAATCTTTGCATTTCATAGAGTAGCAGTATGGTCCAATAATCCCCCACAAGGAGCCAAGGACCCATCCTGCTCTTGCAGGATGACACCTTCAAGAGCATCTTTCTCTTTCCGAAGCTGTTCCTGTCCCCCACTTTGTGAGCTCGACACTTCTAAGTAGATCCTTATTCATGAATTCCACTTTATCAGAGATTTACCACGAATAAGGGGTTCATGACCCTGAAGGCATTGTATCAAGCCCTCTATAGTAGCTTCTTTGTTTGATTCAACTCATTTCGAATAATGTGTGGTGCATTTGGGACAGTGACAGCATCATGGTAGCAAGCTGACCTCTCATCTTATCCTCTATATGTGCTGCAGGAAAGATGAGGTGAGTCTACCAGTGTCTTCTTAAAAATGTCTCAGTCTCCCCGTCCACTCCCCTGGGATTAGCCAGGGCCGGTGATTATTGTTCAGGAAAAGTATGTAAATTTGAGTCTCTGTGAGTGTGTGAGCCACTGTTCCAGCCCCCATTTCTATTCTCCAGGGGGTGTGCCCATCTGCTCCTTTCATGGGTTTGCACCAGATTCTCTAATGTCACAAACTCACACCTGTGTGCTTACCCTGCGGCTCTGACCTCAGGACCGAGTTTCAGGAGGGTTCACTGGCCAAAGGGTTACTCCCATCAGCCGATGTGCTGTGTGCTCCTTGGAACTGCACACGATTGAACCAAGAGAATGGCGCTGATTTGGGGTGACGCAGGCCATTTTTATAAGTAGGGTGTCCTGTAGAGATGTAAGAGACTTACACATTCTAACACAGCCTTAGTGATAGCAGTTTCCAAACCGTGTCAGTCCATCCAGGGCAGACATGACCTGGGAAGGAACACAGAGGCAGAGAAGGCTGGAAAATGTCACAATAAAAGTGGTTTGGGGAAATGAGCTGAGAGTGCTGGAAGCTTTTTACTGGAGGAGAGTGAGGGTGCTGAGCCCAGCCATGAAAAGCCTTAACCCTGGTGATCCAGGCATTGACTGAGCAAACCCCTTTTGGAAACGAATATGCCTTTATAAGGTTGTATGAAAATGTATAATGATTTTATTGCTATAATGCCTGAAGTGCAAAAGGAACTAGGCAGCAAACCTGGGAGAAATGAAAATGGCTGTGCCTTCTCCTTGGCCTTCCAGTGGACTGTGTTTTCCCTGGGAGCCAGGTGCTTTGATAGAGATCAGAATATTTATTTGAAGATGAACAATCTATTATCTGCACAGAATCACAGCAAGTGTGGTAAGGAGCCTGGTTAAGGAACCAAATTAGTATGATAGTGACCGGGAACACAATTACATGAAAGCAAATTTTGTAACGCCTGAATATTTTGGATCATGCATTGCAAATGACTCCAGTGCCTGAGAGTGAAGCCTTCACAGGGCTCCACAAACTCCAGATGTGTCATCTGAGTGTAACTGCCAGATATATTTCATGGTGGCAAGTGTTTATCAAACATCTACTATGTAACAGCCGTGAAGTGCTTCCTCATTCATTCATTGTAGACTCCATCTTCTCAGCTAGAGCTTTTCATTTTCAAAATTATTTTTAAGTGACAAGCAAGTGTTGGTTATGGTTTCCAAACACAATGGGAATTTTTTAAAAAAATATGTGTACGTCTTGGAACGCCTCCATCCAGCTAGTTATTCTCTACTATGATTTGAAACAGAACCATTTTCTGTGGATATATTTGTATTCAATTGCAAGATGGTCACTTATCATTCGACAATGGTTAGTACCTTGGTATTGTCTATAGAATTGCATTGTGTTAAAATGGTTTAGTCCATCAGTTACAATGTTTGCATACCTTAGCAGAGTGCAAGTTTGAGTCCTGACTGTTCAGCTTCTGATTTGGTTCTCTACTAATGAACCTGAGGAAGTAGCCGATGATAACCCTACTACTTGGGTTCCTGCCACCAATGTGGGAGTTTTGAATTGAGTTCCAGGTCCCTCTGACATGGCCCCAAGTTATTATGGCTGTTTGAGGAGAAAACTAGCAAATGGAAGATGACATAAAATGTCTCCCTCATTCTCCCTCCATCTCTCTCTTTCTCATTGTCATTCAGCTTGTAAAAGAAATGAGTAAAATTTAAAAAGACATTTCTTCATTGTGAAAAATTCAGATGCTTCCTATGAGAACACACAGCAATTATAATCCTACCTTTGTTTTTACCAGTTTCATTCATCAAGGCAATTCTCTTTAAAATTTTAGAGCTTAACAATATGCTGTGATGTTTATTATATACTTTCTTATCTTGGTTAACCGTTACTATAATCATTTAGGAAAAAATACTGATAGTCGTTTCTTATCAAATATTTTTGGAAAAGTGCAATTGGCTAATATTACATCAAAGAGGCACTCTAGTTGAGAATTTTCCTTAGTTGTCATGGTTCTTGGCAAATACCACACCCTCCATCTTTGGCTTCATGTTCAAACCCCAGCTATGTTTTGTTTCTGTTTTTCTTCCATTCCCTTTCTTACAATCTCTAGATGTGAATATGGTTCTGACCTTGGCTTCTCAGGTTCTTGATGATGTCCCTTCCATCTGTTTCTGTCTTCCCAGAAGGCCAGGGATTTGTGAGTGAGGACGAATACCTGGAAATCTCTGACATCAAACGAGACCAGTCTGGGGAGTACGAGTGCAGTGCTCTGAATGATGTAGCTGCACCCGACGTGCGGAAAGTGAAAATCACCGTGAACTGTGAGTCAGTCCTTCCCTGGGCATCTCATGGGGAAAGGCAGGCACAGGGAGCAGGCTGCTCTGCAGTACCACTCTCTGAAAGACCCACTACAAGCAGCCGCCAATGGCAGAATGTTTTATTGGATGGCCTTGTCCCAGCATGGCCACTTTTGGCATTTCCGCTTGGAGTCTTGCTCTGACTGCCAGAGCTCCCTGTGAGTGGGGAGAACTGTTTGTCAAGAATTGGTTTGAAGACCTGTAGGAGATGCTGGGGTAAGTGCAGTATCCTCAAGCAGGAATAGGCATCAATTTAGATAGCCATCATGATAATGGGTCACTCCTCTCTCACGGGATTAACCTATGTGTATTGTGTGTTTTATTTAAATTTTTCACAGACCCTCCCTATATATCCAAAGCCAAGAACACTGGAGTCTCGGTTGGTCAGAAGGGCATCCTGAGCTGCGAAGCTTCTGCAGTCCCCATGGCCGAGTTCCAGTGGTTCAAGGAAGACACCAGGTACCTTGGAATAGAATATGGTCAGTTGTGAAACAGAGTTGATGGGTTATTCCCCCACAGGAAATGAGAATAATGAGGAAAAATGAGGCTGAACAGGAATGATCACATTCACTTTCATCACAGCTTCCTTTTAGATCCAGAAAAATGAAACGGAGCAAGACTTGAAGTAGGATAAGATGACTTGACCTTGTTTCAGAGTTTGAGATTAGTTGTGGACATGGTCATTTTGGACAAGTGGAAGCCAGTGAGTTTTTTCTTGAGCACAATTTTCCTTCCTTTTATCCTCACTGCAAGAGCTGGGGTTGAAGAGACTAGTTTAGTTAAAGTTTTTTGTGCAAGGGAGGGCCTCCTGACAGGACTCATCTTGCTGTGTTTGCGTTGGATCAGTGCATTCCATCTGCAGCTTCGATCTGTTTGTGGAACCACCCATAGCAGCTTCTCCTGTTGCAGGTTAGCCACTGGTCTGGACGGGGTGAAGATTGAGAACAAAGGTCGCATATCCACACTGACCTTCTTCAACGTCTCAGAGAAGGATTATGGCAACTATACTTGTGTGGCCACAAACAAGCTTGGCAACACCAATGCTAGCATCACATTGTATGGTGAGTGCAGCAAGCCTGGGCGTGGTGGGCTCAGCCATGTTGCGGAGCTTGGGAGAATTGAGAGGGAGGAAGGGAGGATCTGCTTGACCTGTATCCATCTACACAATTCCACCCACAAACATTAGCTAACAAATACATTCCCCCTGTCATTCACTTGGCATGTCATCTAATGAAGTTCAAAGGGAATTGGTTGATTGGGCATGGGGAGGCAAGATATTGAAAAGACTAAAGCAAATTCTGAATAAACTTGGATGATGATCATCTCTACAAAGAAAATGGAAACATGGAACAGTTTTATTTCAAACCTACCTAAGGTCTACAGAGATCAATTAGAGGTGATTTTAAAAGACCTGTCTTATAGGATGATTCTGAGGATTGTGTGCACAGTATTAAACCAAACCAACTGATGCCATCATGGTTTTCATGCTGATTGACATGCCATATTCTCGTTCATTGGGGTGAACGGAGCACAAATCTAAGGCCTCACCAGATGACCATTCATTCTGTCCAAACAGGGGCATCAGGCTCTTCCTAAAAGGCCTTTCCATTCCATGCAGATGCAGCAGTATCAAGAGCCACAACGGGGTGTCTTAGAAGCTTTACCACTCTCCCACTCCATCCTCCTATCCTGATGTGTTCCAATCTTTGTGCCTCATTTCACAACATGGGCCACAGCCAGCTTGTGATGTTCATGTGTGTATGTGTGCATAGATTTGTTGAGGTTTGGTTAATGGGAAGCATCAGATAAGTAGGATGAAGAGGTATGCATTCTTCCATGGATACCTCGGACTCTGAACAAGCTTTCAGCAGTGACATTGACTAAACTTTGTCCCCCACTCACCTGAAATGTGTGATTTATGTCTTTTGTTTCCTCTCTGCATTGTGTGTGCATTGTGCTGTGTGTGTCTTAGAAATAAGCCCCTCATCCGCAGTGGCAGGTGGGTACAGCATGTTCCTTCCTTCCTCTGCCTGTCTGAATGCCTATGCTTTTTAGTTTTAAGCACCACTTCAAAGAAAAGCTTGCCTGCTTCCCCTCCCTGAGTCATGGCTCCTGAGTGAAGGAACTTCATGGGGTTTGATACATAGCATTTAGATAGCAAGCATGCAGAATATGATGCCTTATACATGGACATTTATGCAATACCATTATGGGTTTCAAGGAAGGAAGGTTTTGTCCCACCTCCCCAAACCCAGACCATAAACTTCTCTGTTGCCTCTACAAAGGATGAGAATCATGCCATTTCTAAACACAGTAGCACCAAGAACAAGCCAGCCCAGAGATCAAATAGGCTGTTGGTTGAATGTCTCTTTTAGAACATACCGTAGAATTAGCATAGAGGGCTGATGGCTTATACTAAAAGCCTTATTTTAAAACATGGATCGTTAGGGTCATTATTTTTAATGGAAGTTATCTGCTTTCTCCCAAATATTTACCAATGTCTGTTCCTAATATAATTGCTATGCAAGACAAGTTATTACATTCACTTTACAAAGTAAAGGAGGATTCAAGCATGGATAACACTAGTGTGCATGTACAACTGGCAAACAGGAAGGAGATGGCCCTCAGAGCCCTTTCTCACAGGCTAAGGGGACTGGCCGGATGACAAACAGCAACAGCCCCACCCACACTTCCACTAATTGTTTTCAGTGAAGCAGCAGTTGTGCTCAGCTTTGCTGGCAGAGGTGGAAGGTTGACAGCCCAGCTCCTCTAAGATGTCATTCTCAGCCTTGAGGAAAGTGATTGTATTAGAGTCCTCTAGACCTGGGGTCAGCTCTAAAATGGCCTCTTTCATAAAACTGGATCCAGGACAGACAGCCACAGACAGGTGTCCCCACACTGCAATGGCCATGAATGTCCGCACACTGATCTGGAAGAAACAGAGGGGAGGGGGTGGGAGGGTGCTGCTGCCATGCCAGTGACCTGCAATTACTATCTGGGACCACGGGGCTGCCAGTGACAGGGAGTATGGCTGACAACCTGATGGCCAGGGTTTTGTGCCTAACTGTAATGAACTGAAGAAGACATGTGTCATGCAGAAACGGTCAGCCGATGTATGCTAAGATGGCATTATTCTATTAGGCTGTGCCAGCAGAGTACCAATGTATGTGTGTCTTAAAACACTAGACATGTCTTTTGTCACAGTTCGGTAGGCTTCACATTCAAGATCGAAGGTCAGGCTGATTCACTTCTGGAATGGGTTGGCTTCTGGACAGTAAACAGCTGCTTGGTCCTCTTTAGCCTTTTTTTTTTTTTTTTGAGAATCCAGCAATAAAGAAAAAGATGGAGCTCTCTTATGCCCATTTATATAAGGGCATGCCTTGTGTCATGTCAGAGCTTCATCTTTCTAACCACGTTATTCTCAAACACCACTAAATGTCTCATCTTCAGGGATTATGGCTTAGTAAGTTAAGCCTCTGCTTATGGTGCCAGCATCCTGTATGGGTGTTGGTTTGATACCCAGTTGTTCCATTTATAATCCAGTTCCCTGCTAATGTGTCTGGGAAAGCAGCAGAACATTGCCCAATCTTTGAGCCTCTCCACCCACGTGGGAAACTTGCAGGAAGCTCTAGGTTTCAGACTGGCCAAGCTCTGGCTGTTACTGTCATTTGATGATTGTATCATGGATGAAAGATCTCTCTCCTCTCTCTCTCTTACTCTCTTTCTCTCTCTCTTTCCTTATCTCTCTGCAAATCTGCCTTTCAAATAATAAAGGAGAATTCTCATCTCCAAATATAGCCATGCTATGGCAGAGTGCTTCAGCATCAAAATTTGGCACAGGGAGGCATAATGTATTTCTTGACAAAGACCTAGAATTCTATCTAGATATAGCCACAGATCAGCTACTTAAAATTGTTGAGCTTTATTTCCCTCATATATAAGTAGGTGTTGTTTGGAATTTAATACATACCTCAAAAGATTGGTGATGTTAAACACAGCTGATTAACATATATATGTCTATCCTTAGATACAAAGAGTTTTATAAATACTAAGTTTAGCTACATGACCTTGACAAGACATGAAGGCTGCTGGCCTCAGTTTACTCAGCTGAAATCGGATGACAACTTGGCCTGATGACATAAGAATGTCATTGTGAATTATCAGGAAAACGTGTTCCCCTCCTCAAAGTTGTCTGACCAGCTGGGAACTGCTGGGAACATGCAAGGCACTGTGATTCCTAACAGTACTTGCCAAAATATTTTATGACATGATCCATCCTGCCACTGTATCATTCTAACACATGCCAGATTTCTCTTGCTTGGATCTGGTCTTTGCGGCAATGCCTCCTGCCTCCTGCCTCCTGTCTCTTTCAGTGCAGCCTACACTGACTCACCATAATTCACCCCATCTTAGGTCACTGTATACGTGTCCATTCACTGCTCAGCCATCCTTCCTGACAAGTCCCCTCACCTCTCTCTCTTTGCATTCCTTCTTCCCTCTCCTCTGACTGCTGCACATTCCCTGCACTGGCCAGCATCCAGCCAACACACATGCATGCAGTATCTGTTCCACAATGACGAGAGCCCTAGGTAACTATGACACAGCAGGAACGCCATAAATAGAGCCCTGGTTTCCATAGATTTTACCTCTGAGATACAATTTTGCTTTGGTTTAATTCACCTACTTAATTTGTTTAAAATCACTTTTCTTATTTAACATGCAAGATTTTTACATTTAGGGACCATGTCTGGTTGAAGTCTGAGGATATAACTCAGGAATCTGTGTGTAAGGGATGGTCAGAAAACTTTTGTTGGCTGAATGTGCGAATTCCACATAACATAGAAACTGAAAGGTTGTGCTGATGATTCCCCAAGTACAGGAATCACAAAGTGAAATGTGACCCAATGGAGTAAGGCAAATATGACTCAAAGAATCCTTGGCCTGGTTGAAGTGCAAGCTGGCCAAATGGCTCTGGAAAAAAAACAGAAACAATGTGTTGTTTTCCTCTTTCCTTCCTTCCTTCCTTCCTTCCTTCCTTCCTTCCTTCCTTCCTTCCTTCCTTCCTTCCTTCCTTCCTTCTTTCGAACGCATGGTGGATAAGGTTGCCCACAGTCCCCACACGATCTCTTTTTTCTGACACTGTCAATGGCAGTAGTTTTGGCACAAGAAGAAAGTGACAGAGGCCAGCTGACCCATGCTTTCTGCTGGCCATGAGGGGTCTGATTAGTCCTCAACACCCCATAAGTATAGCTGATTATAACAAACCACTTACCATGTACAGGCATCATAGACTAAGTGGTTTTTGTATTTCATCCCAGTTACTAATTCTGTGAAGTGTTATATTTATCCTAACTGTACACACCAGGCAATGGAGAGGTTAGGCAGAGAACGCGAATGTCTCTGGCTTGCATGCAGGAGCTATGATTTGAGGTCATGCCTTCCAATTCCCCGGCCTCAGCATTTTTCTACTATTTCAGTCCAACTTGTAATATTTAGTAACCTGTCATGATGGCAGAGAATGATCCTTCAGATCATCAACAAGTACCAACAATTTGTGGCTTGGAGTCATCAACTGTAACAAATCCTACTGTCACACAACAGTCTGCCCCTACCCCTGACATGGCTTTTAAAAGGAAAACATCTAAATTCATAAACCACTTACTCCTATTTCTCTAATACACACACACACACACACACACACACACACACACACACGTGCTTGTGCCTTTCACATATTTCCATAACTGCATGCCAAGGACAGAGGTAAATGAGATACTGCCCATCTCAGAAGAATCCAGAAGACAAAGACTGGGGCACACCATGTGTTGATGAGTGGGTAGACGTAGGAAAAGTTTAGAAAATATGTGAGATTCAAAGGATGCATGAGCAATCATCAATGACCAACGCATAGCTGGCATGATAGGAAGCGTGTCTGTGCTTCCTCATCACACCAGTTGCCTTCTCTGTCGAAGCCACAGGGGTACCAGGGTCACTTGAACAAAGTGCCCACTCAGAGGCTCATGCCAAAGCTTCTATTTTCTGGCAGGCAGGAGGCAGAAAA